AACTCCTCAAAGGTTTATATCGTCTGCCATGGATCTTTCTGCGAACATGAAAGTGTTTCTTCTGCCGACAATTGGCAAGCGACATTGCGCACATCATGGAGAAAATGCAACACAACACATTGAAAATGAAAAACAAGTCACATCGAGTGGCACCAGCAGTCAACATGGTGGAGCTGAAGGCAATCAGCAAACTCAAAAAGAACCAGACACTGAGGCCATTGCCATGTACGCTATGCAGCATTACATTTCTGCATCTCGCCTGCATCTCAGACCATCCTGTGTTGGAGGGCATCATTGTTGTACACATACAGGCATCGTCAGCAAAGACGGGCTCCTCCAACGGGAAGGTGATGCCAGCCGGGGAGTGAAGGTACGCCCCGGGAGCCCGAGGAGAGGCAGTGTAGTCGAAGCTGGTGTCGCTGCCGTAACCTAACAAAGGGTTGAAACGTTTTCTGGGCGGTGGTGGTTCTGGTGAATAAGGTGCAGGAGCACCAGGGCATATTTTTATCATCCACTTTTCAAATAAGGTCTTGTAACAGTTTTGGCGCAATAGGAACAAGTGGGTGGATGTAAAGTGGATATGTAATGCATCTGCTTGACGGCTGCTTCACGATTATGTGCATCAACAAGTTTTTGCAATTCTTCAGTCCTAGTTTGGGATAATTTTGCTGCACGGGTTAAAGAACCTTTCTTATCCACCTTATCGGTTAATGCGTGGCATGGTTTCTGGGCGAATTTCAATGCATGATATGTATGAACTGTCTTGGAGCAGAACTGACACACTGGCTGTTCAGAATTGACAACAAAATGGCGTTTTTCAAATTCTGCTGTGGAATTGAGTTGATTCAGTTGTTCTGTAAGCTGCTGATGGAACTTGTTAGTGCGCTTTTCCCCACGCGTGGGCGCCTTTTGTCCTGCTTCAATATCTTGAAAAAATGCGCGAACTTGCTTGGCAGCTTCAATTTCAGTATCAAATGGTCCGAACGAATGACGTTTTCCCAGGTGTGGGATGATGGCTTTATATGTTTGGCTCTTTGTATGAAAATGAACATGCTGATACTGCGACGATCCAGGTCTAGAAGAGGTTGAATACCAAAAACCTTCAGGACTATGTGTAGGGCGAGATTGACTGGTGTTATGTGACTGTGCTGGGTGAGTCTTATGGGATGTGGGATTCTCACCTCCTTTTTTCTGATTCGTATCTGTAGGTTTGATGAAGGGCGAATAATCAAAATCATCTGGCGGGTCAGGAATTATTGCTTCATTACGTGCTTTGATGATGTCAACCATGGTGTGCTGAATATCACACGCAAAGTTGCAATGATGCGGTAATGGCGTTTCGGTGTCATGTCCATTTAACACACGAGCATGATTATCAACCATCTGCTGAAGCTGTTCGGGCGTTTGGAGAAAGAGACCTGTTCTCTGGGTGCATAGTGGCAATTGCAAGCATTGGTCAATTTGGCTTTGAGTCAAACGATTCATACGTTGAGTATGCCAGGCTGGGCATCTCCAAAATAAATGGTCTAGTGTTTCTGGTTCGTGCCAGCAGTACAGACATACTGGATGTGGTGCCTGAGCAGTGACATATTTATGTTTTTGCGTTGAGATTCCGTCACTGAGAATTGCTCGCAATATGCCTTCGTCATAGGGAGTGAGGGCTCGAGAGTTGAGCAATTGGACAGTAGTGAACTTATCTATGCCCAATTGGATACCTTTTAAAGTCTTCCGAGAGGCAGCAGCACGGTTCCACAAAACTCGCGCAATGGCATATCTTACAAGGTGTAAAAAATATTGATGTGGAATTGTCAGAATTGGCACACTGATCTGGAGATGCTCACTAATTTTGGCAACAATAGTGAACGGTTCTACCCATTTCCAATCTAAATGTAGACATGCTACATGGAACATGGAAAGTGGGCCAACCATGTTTGATTTGCCATTCTTATATTGAGCACGTGCGTCAATACTATCATGCCAAATTTGCTCCCATTGGTAACGGATGTTTGGGTGTTTGGCCAGCTGTCGGCATGCTGTTTGAAAAGGCGCATACCACTTCAACTGTGTCGGATCGATCAAATGGCCTTTGTGACAAATTGTGAGCAAAATGTCATTGCTTTTGTGGGAACCTTTGCTCCACAATGCTCGACATATGGCGGATCGCAACTTTCTTTCGATGTGAACTGAGCAGGGACCCATCTCTAAAGCGTAACAGTACTTGGGTGCTCCGGCAGTGGCGAGAAGCGTTTCTTTGGCTGCAATATTTAATGGGCAAATACTGATTCTTTGGGCAACTGCCATGTAACTAACAGCTCGTTTGTCAGCCAATTCACGCGAACGTCTTTTGGTGAAAGGTAGGCTAGCCCCCAGGAGTTTGTCATCGAGACTTTGTGGAAATTCGAAATTTTGCAATTTTTGTCTAGCCAATCTGGTAGTTGCAAAAACCGTAGTTTTGTCTGAATTAATAACAGCATCGATGGCTTGGTCAAATTTTTTGGTGATATGAACAGCGTTTGTGAAATGTTCGAAGGATGTGGAACGCAAATTCTTATCATCAATAAAAGCGCTGGCCATACAGTAGGATGTAGTAGAATGATTGCTAATAACCTGTATCCACGCCGTAATCATTGCATTTATGCGAATGATTGCTAACGGGCATCCTTGGCAAATGGAATTGGTGTTTGGAAACGAAGGTCCAATAGAATTTCCAAGGTTAAATCTTCGCTGAATGGATTGGTTATAAGCAAACATGGTATTTAGGATGGCCGGTGGCATTCCAAGATCTATAAGAACACCGCGCTCAATTTGCCAACATATGTTGTCAAAACATTTTGCATAATCATATAATATACCGTATAAGGGATGGTTTGTATATGAAGATTGCTCGATGTCAAGAGCCACAGCAAAGTACGAGTCCAATGTTTGTCTGTTGGCAATACCACCATGAAGTTCTTTAGGAACCCATTGGAGGTGCCATGGTTGTAAGTGTACCCACCGTATCTTTGCCCACATCCTGTAGATGTGAGAAGTCAAGGAGATGGGTCTAACTTGCAGTGGTGTGTCACCTTTGCCTTTCTTCAGAGTAGTGACTGGCACCTCTAGTAGATTTGCCGGCCACTTGGCAGCGCGTTCAATGGTCTGATATAGCATGGCTAATTTGTCTAAAGAAATCATTCCAAGGATTTGGAGCTCTTCTACTTTCCATCCATCAATTCCTGGGGAGGAAGGCTTCATTTGTGCTATGACTTCGGCAATCATGGATGCAGTAATGTCAGGTACCTCAAAAGGATTGGCGTCATGGTATTGACGATTTGGCAAAAAGGCTTCAGGAAATTGTCTGCAAAACTCATCATAGCAAGGCGGCGTTGTGTCCACATAGCGGTTGAAAATAGGACTCCAAGCGTCAAGCATCATTTGGTGCAGTTCTTTATGCTTAGTAGCATATTCGTTAGGACCAACTTTAAAACACGGAGTCATATATGGATCATGATCTTTAAGCCATGCATAAGTTTGTTTGCGGGAAGTATTCCAATCCTGTATGAGTTTTTCCTTAAAGGTGGCAAGGCGTTGTTCGCAAACTTGTTGTTGTTCTTCTAGCAAGATATGCTTAAGCTGCGATAGGCACAAACTCACGTTATGGGAATCATATACTTGAATTGGAAATGGAATTTGAGGCAGGAGTCGGCACCAACTAGTTCTAACGTTATGCTTCAGAGATACTAACTGGCTATGAGCTGCAGGGCTTCGAGCTGAATCATGCCGAACCTTGGCAGCCAACTGGTTAATTCTCCGCTGTAATTTCAACAAGGACGAAATGCGATGTGTGGCCGCACCAGTTTCCATATGAGCTGGTGCAGCTTGAACTGGCTGTTGAATCACTTTGGGAGGACGTCCTCTGCCTAATTGCTTTCGGAATATGGTATGACCTTGGCTTTTCGAAGTCTGAATGAGAATTTGTTCAGCAGTCTGAGTCCAAATATTGAACGCTTGGTCAACGTCATGATTCTGTATGGCCACATAAAAATCGTAGTTATGTGTAGACCAACATTCCTTTTCAATGCGTTCCTGATCAATAATGTTCAATTGGCTACGATCGATTTGAATCCTGAGAGGCGTTCTGTATACAAATTTCGAATCGAGGTGTTCAGGAAAATCAAGATCAATGCGTAATGGACAATGTCCAGGTAAAGCAGTGTCGCGCAAAACTGTCATTTTCTGCACATGTGTTAACATGACGCGATTGCAAATGGCAAGATCGATCCTGGAACGGATGTTGGTATCGGCACCTTTTTGATAGGTCCAATCGGAGTCAAACAAACTGCCAACGTCAATGATTTCATTAGATCCGCAAAGAGCGCCTAACACAGGAGATAAATCAGGATTAGTGTTAAAGTCTCCAACGAGGATCCATGGGACATCACCTAATTTTGCAGCGGCTTCAAAAACGGATGTTAGCAACTGTTCATTCAATCTTAGTGCTTCAGGATTACGACTGCCAGCACCAACATGGCCATAAATATTAAAGATGTGAAATCCTCTCCGTCCACATCCACTTGGGACCCAGGTCTGTGTGCATCGGCCGGTGGTAACTGGATATTCCGAAGATTGAATTTCATGAATCGGCAGCGGTTTTTTACTAATAGTGGCAAGGCCACCAGATCTTGCATTCCATAATGAAATATTTTTCTGTGATCCGGAAAACTTGAAGTCTGAAGGTCTGCCAAACAAAACATTGTACTGAGTATTGGACAGTTTTTTGGCCATAGAATTCTGTCCATGTCGGTTCAGAGTAGTCTCTTGCAAGCAAAAAATGGAGCTGTTTAGACTTGCTACAATATCCCAATTTTTCCGTAATGAGGTGCCATTGGCGGAAGTGATTGAAATGTTTGGGCCATCTGAAATTTCATCGGATGAAAACTGGGATCCCAAATGTAATAACATAATGTACAAAACTTTGGGAATCAATCCAAGCCATAAAATTCTGAATCGTCGTGAGGTGCTCAGGTCTCCTTGTTTTGCTTGCCTGGTGGTGTTTCACCGGTCTTGGCTGGCGCAGGTCGTTTTCCAGATTCATTTTTCGCAGGTGATACCGGGATAGCAGCTTCTTCACGCTTGGGTCGTAATGATCTCAACCAAGATGCTTTCTGTTGCCCAAAATTAGTTGCCGTAGCAGCAGCACTGCTAGAGGCTTGGCTCTTTGCTTTTTTGTTTGCTTCAATTTGAGAATTTCTGGCTGATAAGCTCAAAGCTTTGAATCGCATCTGCTGACTTTCACCATCGACTTCGTAAAACATAGGTGTGAGATTTCCCACAGTGCTGGCTGTGAAGACACAGTGGCGTTCACCAAAATATAATACCGAGTCAATGACCCACTGACGGTCTTCTAATAGGGTGATCACACCTGCAGACCCAAGAATGGGCGACAAACCATCCAAGCGCCAGCGACTTTGTGACGCTGAGTTGGGAAGGGCATATTGCTCAGCAAATGTTTGCAGGTCTTGCATGGAACTGAAGCGCAGGGCGTATTTTGGTTTCTGTTTGGCATTTTTTGCGACAAGGCCTAGCACTTTGTCTGATTCAGCATGTTGCAAAGCTTGTTCATGACTGACATCATCCGGTAACCAAAGAAGCTCGAACTGATAACCGGCTTCGGAACTGCTGTGGATTTTGAAAAAGACACCTTCACGGCCACTGGTTTTCATAAGCTGTGTCACGAAACTTTCATGAATCATGAAAGTTGCACGAAGGTCCTCACGACATTGGACTTGTTCCACAGCACGAATGTCAACTCTGTTGGATAGCAAATCAGTAATGGTGGAACCTTTGACAGAATCATTGCTCCAGCCGAACAATCGTGGTAGTTTGGTAACACATTTCACCATTGATTTTGGGAGCGTTACCTGATCTCCAACAATCGTTTGAGATACTTCGGCTCCAAAACCGACTTGAATCAGAAAACGCTTGACTGTGACTTCTTTGATCTCGGCTTCACTAGTGCGAACCTGAATTCGGACATATACCTCACGACAGTTGTACCCATTCAAGTGGAGTTGTGACGCACTTTGGGTTGTAAGAATTCCAATTGGATGTCTTGAATATCCAATGTTTCTTAACACTTGTGCCAGCATTGATTTGGGTACGAGAGCAACCCCAGGTTGTGCGTGCATGTCATGTGGAAAGCGAACCGGTACATCCCAGTCATCGGGATACAGCTGCGGCTGCATACGCTGAATCGCAGCATCTGGTAAGGAATTGCGGATTTCCTCTTGGAAGGAGAGCTCTTCTTGTTCAGCATTGGTTTTTCCCTTTGTCTGTTTCCCTTTTCCATACCCTTTGCGCACAGAGTTGTGGAATTGGGGCACCATATTGCCATTCATGGAATGAACAAACTTATTGCGTTTGATCATGGTTACAAACCATGAGTAGCTGACCTCAGAAAAGCTGCGAGCTATTGATCTAGATACTCGAAAAGAGGCGGGGTAACGAATCATGCTCCCTGAAATATCGGTTGGCTGAATCTTGGCAGGACAACGATTGAACGGTGCAGCGATGGCACACCAAATGTTTGACATGAAGAGTGTGCAAAACAAAAGCTTGGAAACTGTGCTGTTGCTTTGCCGGGTATTGTGGCACTTCTTTGGTAACCTATACCGGCGACCTCCAACGATTCTACTTCGTAGATGTTTGCGAGGCTTGGCTTTGTATGCACTGGTCACATCACAAATCCAATGGGCAACATGCAACGGAAACTGGTGAGAAAGATGGTGAAACAAAATGACACAGACGACCCACAAGCCAAAAGGCAAGGCATCAAATGACATGGGTTGCTCCGACCCTGTGACCGACATGGCGTGCGCTGCAGAACAGCAGTAGGAGATAAGCAACAGTAGCAGTTGTGCACTAAAACTTACAGCTGTAAGGATTGCGTGGTTGACACATTGCGAACACTGACTCATCATCCCCTTCGACCTCACCCTCGGAATGTTCGCTGTCGAAGAGGAGTGCACCACCGAGTCACACGATGATGTGGATGCCGAGGAGGAGAGGCAGTGTAGGATGAGGCTTGTATGCTGCCGTAACCTAGCAAAGGGTTGACCGACAGCGCCGAGGGGCTCACGCCCTTGGCAGTTGGCAGGACTGCTTACCACGCAGTCGTTGATTGCTACTGGTTGAATTTGAAACATTAGATGGATCTGGTGCATGGTCGCACTGCTTGATCATCCAAGTCTTCAGGTGATTACGCATGACAGTCTTTTGGCAGAACTTACAAATTGGTGGATTCAGTGAGGAAATGTAGGGTTGTTTTTTGGAAATCGCACTTCGGTTGTGAGCATCAATTTTTTCTTGTAGAGCTGCAGTACGCGTTTCGGAAAGCTTCTTTGCACGTGTGGCAGATCCTTTTTTGTCGACCTGATTAGAAATTGATGGGCATTGTTGCCGCGCAAATTTAATGGCATGATACGTGTGCACCGATTTATTGCAGAACGAACATGTTGGATTGTGAGTGTCACCAACATGATGACGTTTCTCATCTCTGGCAGTTAAATTAAGCTGCTGCAACTGCTGATCAAGATTAAAATGAAACATCTCCGTGCGTTTTTCACCACGTGTTGGGACGCTGGAGGTTTGTTCCGTATTTTTTAGAAACTCACGTACACGCTCAGCAGCTTGAACTTCGGAGTCAAAAGGTCCAAAACTGTGTCTCTTACCATTGTGTGGGATGGTGGCCTTATATTTTTGAGTCTTTTTGATAAATTGAACATATTGATATTGGGATGCACCAGGTCGTAATGATGTCGAGTACAATAAACCATCCGGAGAATGAGAGGGCTTAGATTGAAGTTTCTGTGCTTGACGGTCTTGTGGTTGACTACTGTCTTGGTGAGGCTCATTCATATTTACACTGTCTGGGGTTGGTACAACTACAGGAAGAATGGGCTCGGATCGAACCCATCAGGAGGTTCAATGCCCTCATCCTGATTTCTTGCTTTGGTGATTTCAATCATAGTAATATGGATATCCGAAACAAAGTCACAAGAATGTGCAGGAGCATGCCCGGCATTAAGACCATGCAAAATTCTGTCATGTGACCTGAAAAGTTGTTGAAACTGGTTGGCAGTGGTTAAAAATAAACCAGAACGCTGCGTGCATAGCGGCAATTGTTGGCACTCGGTTATTTGTTGAACTGAAAGTCTGCTTTGGCGAATAGTATTCCAATGTGGACACTGCCAAAACAAATGTTCAAGCGTTTCGACAGCACACCAACAAAAATGGCACACAGGGTGCGCAGCTTTCTTCATGACAAACAAATGCTTTTGAGTGGTAATGCCGTCTGCAAAAATAGCTTTTAAAATGCCCTTGTCATATGGTGACAAGGCTTGTGTGTTCAAGAGCTTCACCGTGGTACTTTTGTCAATACCTAGGTGAACACCACGGAGATTCTTTCTGGCATTGCTGGCTCTTTTCCAAAGCATTTGATTAATGGCAAAACGAATAAGGTGATGAAAATAAGCTTCAGGGATATCTAAGAAGGGAATGCGTAAATTGTGTGTTTCAGAAATTTGCCATGTAAAAAGGAAGGGTTCAACCCATGCCCAACTGATAGATTTGCATGCAATGGCAAGATTGGAAAGTGGTCCAACCATGTTGGATCTACCGTCTCTATATTGGCCACGATGAGTAGCGCTGTTTTGCCAAATTTGCGACCACAATTGGTGAATGTGCGGATGTTTTATCAGCTGTCTCCTGGCAATCTTGAAGGCCAGATAAATTTTCAATTGAACGGGGTCAAACAGGTGACCTTTATGGCAACTTGAAAACAGAATATCAGTACTTTTGTGATTGCCTTTGGTCCAAAGACATCGTGCCACGGCACTTCTCAGGGTCCTTTCAACTTTCAAATTACATGAACCCATCTCAATACCAAAGGAGAATTTTGTGGCACCAGCTGTAGCAAGAAGAATTTCACGCGCCGGCATATTGAGTGGACAAACATTAATACGCTGCGCCACAGTCAAATAAGCTTGGGCTCTTTTGTTGGCTAATTTCTTTGAACGTTTCTTGGTGAATGAGAGACTGGCACCCAAAAGCTTTTCGTCGGTGACAGTTGGGTACTCGCATGCTGCGAGTTCTTTCCGGCCTTGCGATGTGTTGGCAAAGACCACTGTTTTGGTCGGATTAACAACAGCCCCTACGGCAACGTCAAAACTTTGTGTGACCTGATTGGCAGTCATCAAGGAATTGAAGCTAGGAGCTCGCAAGTTCTTGTCATCGATAAATGCATTCGTTTTACACCGTTGAGTGTCAGGGTGCTTGTGGATGACATGGACCCAAGCGGTAATAAGCGAATTAATTCTCAAAATAGCCAGAGGACAACCTTGACAAATTGAATTTGTATTACCAAACTTGGGACCTACAGATGATCCAAGCTTAAACCTTCGGTTCATATTTTCACTAAATGCCATCATAGGATTTAATATAGGCATAGGTAAACCCAGGTCACGGAGAATGCCTCTTTCAATAGACCAGGCCACATTGTCGAAACATTTCTGATAATCAAACAATATTCCGAAAAGTGGGGAATTGGTAAAATTTGCATGTTCGATTTCGAGTGCAACTTGGTAATAAGCATCAACGGTCTCTCGACCAGCAATGCCACCTTTGAGTTCGTCTGGGCACCAAGACAGGTGCCAATCTTGCAATTGTTGCCATCGAAGTTTTGCCCACAAACGGTACATATGGGAAGTTAAGGAAATTGGACGAATATCAAGTGGTGAATCGCCGGAGTTCTTTTGCAATGAAGCTACTGGCACTTCAAGTAAGTTCTGTGGCCATTTCCCCACATTTTCCACCAATTCGTAGAATTTGACAAGATAGCTGATTGATCGACGTCCCAACACTTGAAGTTCTTCAATCCTCCAAGCATCTGCACCTGGTGATGAAGGTTTCAACTGAGCGATTAAAGCCATCACATCATCACATGTGATTTGTGGAAGAACAACAGGGTTATCAGCTGAATACAAACGATTTTCAGGCAAAGCCATGGGAAATGCACGCAGAAAATCGTCATAACTAGGCGGTGCATTTTGGATAAACCTGTTGAAGATGGGACTCCAAGAGTCAAGCATCATCTGGTGAATTTCGGCATGTTTCGTAGCATATTCATGAACCCCTGTTTTAAGACAAGGAGTTTGATAAGGGGTTTGGTCACGAACCCAAGTATAAGTTTGCTTACGTGTAGAATTCCAATCTTGAATCAAATTCTGTTTGAAAGTGTTAATGCGACGCTGACTGACCATTTCCTGTTCTTGCGAAATGGAATTCTTGAGAACATTACACATCTGTTGGACTTCTGCACACGAAGGCGGAATTTGTGAAAATGGGTTATGATGAAAAAGGCGCTGCCAATTGCTAGAAACGTTATTGCAGAAGTTGTTTAACTGCAATTGAAATTCAGGCGATTGGCTGTGCAAGTGCGATACTTTGATAGATAACTGTTTGACACGACGTTCTAACTTGGCTAAGGAAGATAATCTCTGCGTTGAGGCACCAAATTCGGGAGAAAAGGGACTAGCCTGAACTGTTTGAGATACAACTTTAGTATTACTGGCACAAAGAGTACCAAGCACTGGCGAAGCATCAGGGTTGGTTTGAAGGTCTCCAACCACCATCCATGGGACATCCCCAAGGGTGGATGTGTATTCAAAAACCGATGATAAGAACTTCTCATTGAGAGTGAATGCATGAGGATTCTTAGTTCCGGCTCCCACATACCCGTAACAGTTTATGATATGGAAGCCTCTGTGGCCGAGGCACAAGGGACCCAAGTGTGAGTAGCTCTTCCAATTTCGAACATGAAGGTGGTAGATTTGATATCTTTGAGGGGCAAAGAATTTTTGGCAATAGATGCTAGACCGCCAGATTTGGCATTCCATAGAGAGATACTGGTCTGGGAACCAGAAAACTTATATTCACAGGGTAAACCAAATGTGGCACTACGGTTATCTTTGGAAATGGTTCTTGCCATAGCATTTTGACCTTGTTTGTTCAGGGTAGTCTCTTGGAGAAAATAGATTGAAGAGTCGAGTGCTTTGACAAGATCCCAATTTTTACGTAATGATGTGACGTTTGCAGAAATGATGTCAAGAGTTGGACCATCTGCAATTGCATCGGATGAAAAACCAGGTCCAATACGTAAAAAGAGGAACCAACTGGAGAGGGCAATGAGCGCACGTGGAAAGTTCGCAACAGTGATCCAGCAGTAAGGATCAGCTCGCTTCAACAGTCACGTTTGCTTTTTCCTTGGTGGGCTGTTTTGTGCTGCAATTGCAGCAAGCAGCTTATCTTCCATGTCTTTGTTCTGCTTGCGGAGTTCATCATACTTGGATGTGACCGTAGTCTCCATAGTTTTGACATGATTAACCGTCTCATCCATCTTTTGGTTGGTAACGGCCATCTGCTGAATTGTTTGGTTCATTTTTGCATCAGTGCTTTGCTGCTGTTGTTTCAAAGCAGCGAGCTCCTGTTGCATTTGTTCACGAAGCGCATCTGTGATATCATTGACTTTGGACAAGACACTGGACTCAGCCGATTGGATTCGATCTGCTACAACTTGTTGAACTTTGGGAGCAGGAACAGTAATTCTGGGTTGCACTAAATCGGTCGGGGCGCTGGCATTCAGGTTAGCAGCGGAGGAGAGGTAGTGTAGTTGGCCCAGTCGCCCCAAGCGCTTCCAGTCAGGCCATCCTGAAAGAACATGCGTGAAGTGGATGATGGTGTGCAGCGAGTAGTCGTAGTTCCTGACGGATACGCTCAGAATGCTGCTCATCCCAGTCCGAAGAGGTCGTAGTGCTGTCAAAAACGTGGTCAGAAGCTTACCGACGGCCAACGGATGCAAACAGCTCCCAGGAGCCCGGGCATCCATTGACTCGTGTGTCCAGCCACCTCCTAGGCGACTGGATGCCGCGTCGGCTGCATAAACAAAAACGTGTGCTGTGTGTGAGACGGAAAATGATTCAAGTGATTGCAAAACAAAGCGGAATCTTTTGGCAAAAAGTTGTGCGGTGAACAAGGCTGCTGCGGCAATGATCTAATGGAAAAGTCACTGGTGCTCTGGTGGCAAAATGCCAACACCGTGGAAGAAACACAAACTTTGGGTCCGGTGGTCCGGCGCTACTTCACAAAAGGCTCACTTCTTGGTCAAGGATTTCCATAGCTTCTGTTCCAGGACAGACTGTCCGTCACGAGATGGTTCAAACTTCATCTTGGTGGACTTGGCCTGCAACAAAGTGCGGATGTCGTTGCGGGTCTCATCCGAAGCGGCTGCTGTCAAGAAAAGAGAGAATTTCCAAGTGCGATTGTCCATCGGGCTACTAAACTTGGAGGAACAGGCTGCCACTTCAAGGTCGACTTGGTCAGGAGACAAATTCACCAATCGATCTGCCGCGGCTTTCTGCTCCAAGGTCCACTGATCTCCATTTTCAAGGAATGTTTTGGTCAGCATCACCAGGTTGAAGTACTTCTTGTGGCCCCACGGGTGTGGAGCCAAGGCCTCGCCTTTAGCACGGGCAGCGGCACGTGCTGCAGCAATGTCACCTCCGTGTTGTTCCTCTTGCTTGTGCTTGTAGGACGCCATAGCGTTGGCCGCGGAGGTCTTGGTCTCATCAGTTGTGAGCAGGAAACGCAAGGAATTGCTGTGCAGCAAAGCCTGCACGTCTTGGCTGCGGTACAAAGTCAACCGAAGCAAATCCTGGACCAAAGGATCAGTAGAACTAGAGGCGGCCACATCGACCGAGCCATTCTCAAGGCGGCGACGTTGTGCCGCTGGCTGACCACTGTTCTGCAACGACTGCATCTCTGTGAGGACAGCAGGGCCAGTCGCCATGGGCTCGGGTAAAGCACTTTCAAACAAAAACCCGAAACTTGGCACGTGAAACGAGCTGACCTGGGAGAGTGACTGATTTGGTGAAGAATGCAAACTGCTGAAACAAAATAATGTACACACGACCGGTTGGTCGGCTGCTTCACTGCAAGTCCTCGGCTTTACGTCTCTGCAAGCACACGACCGAATGCCGTCCCTTAGCATGTGCTGTCCAAAAGAAAATGCGGCAGTGAGGGCATGGATGGTCCGTAACAGTGACATGTTCTTGTACTTTCTTAACTCTGGCAATCCATAGTTTATAAGGCATCTTTTTACAAGAGCAAGTATGTTTAACACATTTATGTTTATTTTCGAACTCCTGCAAGCAAAAATTGCATTTGGTAGGAGGCCACCCACGGGGGGGCGGGGGAGCAGGAAGTTCCTGAGCACACATTTGCCGCTTGGGGTTTCGAAGAGAGGGTGCTGGTTGCTTGCCATTGAGACGTCGACGTAACCGATTGGGTCGGTTGCGGGATTGGGATGCAGCTGGGTTGTGATCTGCTGGATGCGGTGCTTGGGCCGCTGCGGCTGGCGGTGGTTTTTTAGCTGCCCTTTGATCACGACGGGCTTGAAGCAAAGCTCTTTGGTCATCTGGTAAATTTTTGCACGGCAGGATGTGTTTCTTTAAGGAACGAAGCAGCATGGAAACGCCGCAGTGAGGGCATGCATACAAGCCGTTAGGTCCTGGTGTTGCTCCGTAAGCAGCTTCCGCTCGTGCTTGGGCTTTGGCCAGTTTTTGATCTCGGGCGCCGCCGGGAGCGTGGTGGATAGCCCAGGTATCTTCATTATCTTTCTTGATTTGATGTTGCCACCACTTTTTCCGCAATGTGTGCCAGGTGATACCATCCGCTTCTGCGGCTAAATCCAGCCATTTTGTTGACCAGTTTTGGGACTCAAAGTCTGCAAGTTTGCGAATTTCTTCTAACAAATTCCAGTATTGATAACGTAATGTATGCCCACGCTTGTGCGCAGGCTGCTCATTTTCAGGGATTAGATAGGAAAAAAGAACTTTGCGTTCAAGAGATTCTGGTGGTTTGCGGGCCAAATGGCCGAGGAAATCGATCTTACGTTTGCCTATCATGGTTTGGATGGTTGGCATGTGGAGAGATTGGCGCAAATCACTGAGAGTGAGTTTTTTGTCCTGCATGGTTTTGCGACGCTGTCGTGTTAGACCAAAGGTAATTTTATTTTAAAAAACTTGGTAGGCTCTCAAGTCAGCACGACTATATGGTCTAGTTTCACACCCGTAGAGAAGGGAAGCAAAAACGGTGGCTTGGACTAGCTGGGATTGCACTAGCTTTGAGTGAAATGCCTAATCGAGGTAATTGAGAATAGACTTTACACCAAATCTGGGAAGCTTTGGCTAAACGATGCTTGGTATCATAGGCAACGCCCCCACGATTATCAAATTGAATGCCTAAAAATTTCAGCGACTCAGAAAACCCAGGCGGCGTGGTGCCGTTGAGCACCAGGCGTTCAGTTTTGTCCGGATGGAGTGTCTCACCCCATTGACGGAGAACCTGGGCGGCGAGGGCTTCGACTTCGCTAGCTTGGCTGGCTCGGGTTAAGGCAGTGGTGTCATCAGCAAACAATAGGATAAACATATGATAGATGTGTGCAAGTCCTTGGTCGTGCAGTTTGGATGAAATTTTGCGCGTCCGTTTATTGAGTGGTTTCCCAGAAATGAATCCTAAGTCAAGGCCAGCTGGTGGTTGCAGACTGGTGGCTTCTTGTACCAAGTGAAAAATATATAGGTATGGTATGGTACAGATTATATAGGGCTGGACTGCTGGGGCACCCCTCACGAAAACCTTTTTGGGATCGAAACGGTTCTGCATCCCCCTCCTGTGTGCGGATGATGAACTGGGTATTATTGTGCAAACTGCTAATAACCGAAATTAAAGCATCTGGAAGGCCGAAGGTTTTGCGAAAGACTTGGTAAGCCGGGTCACGCGGAACACTGGGATAGGCTCGTTGAATGTCAAAGCTAATGATGGCTAAAGGATCAGCCGGATGACTAATTTCGGTGGCTAATTCACTTAAGATTCTGAGGATTACTAATACATCGGAGGTGGATCTATTGGGTTTAAAACCCCATTGGAAGGGGGGCAGCAGGTTTAAATCTTCACAGTGGCGGCGCAGGCGATTGGCAATGATTTTTGCTAGGAGTCTGGACCCGATAGATAATAAAACAATCATTCTGTATGTGGATACATCACTGCGTTGACCTTCACGTTTCCACAACAAGATACCTAGTCCTGTGTGCAAAGAAGAATGCCATTGGTCTGCTGGGGTGGTCCACAAAGTTTGCATGAGGGTGGTAAGGACTCTTAAACCAAGTTCCCCGCTAAGTCTTAACATCAGTGTAGTGATGTGGTCGGCCCCTGGTGCACTTTCACGAAGTTGTGTGAGAGCGTCTTCGGTTTCCTGTCTACTAGGGACTGTTCCTAACCACTCGGCTGTGGGCCGGGAGGGCAACTGTGAAATGAGGTCATCTTCAACTGGTAGAGGAGAAGCCATAGTTGATTGGAAATGGGTCCTAGCTGCATCAAGGGTGAACAATTCCCGACCTGCTTGGGACTTACCTTGAACGTGTATGCCTAACTTGGGAAGCAAATTGTAAAAACGTCCAAGATCATGTATTCTCAAGGCATCTTCAAGGTCCTGGATGATTAGCGCAACCCACGGCCAACGGTTGCGGCAATCTTGCTTGAACTCTCGAACGGCTTTCTTGGCTTCCTGTAGTTCTGTTCGAAGTGCGGCTTCATCAGGCGTGCCGCGAGCTTGGTGCACATGTTTCCAACACTGCTGCTGTTTATCCATTAAAGACATGATGTGATCGAGATCAGCGGGACTATAGAAGGAGGGTTGGTTATTCTGCTTGGTGGTTCCTAGGACTTCGACTGCGGTTTCACGAAGGAGAGTGGAAAACCGGTCCCAGGGCAGCGGGCATGGAGGATCTGAGTTCTCTGGTGCTGGGGGATTATTAGGAGGACGGGGCTCCCAATGCGTTCTGGTCAGGCGACGTCTGGTCCACGTCTGCTGGTGTCCGGCAGCTCCTAACTTGGCCAGGCGATCTGCTCTTTCGTTTCCGGGATCCCCGGTATGCCCAAAAACATGTTGCCAGACGATGGTTCGACGGTGAGAGACGGTTTTCACTAGTTCGGACACTGTGTGAACTAAGGCTATGTTACACCGAGGGGCCCACTGGCCGGTGGCCATTTTGTATGCGTACACACTGTCATATTTGATTTTTACAGGCGAAGTGTCCTTGGAAGTGGTCAGGACAAACTTCATGGCATTGCCAATGGCACTTAGTTCGGCTGAGTTATTGGAACTTACTGTGGCACCTAGATAATCATGCGATTGTTTATTGAAAACGACTGGTCAACAAAAATCTTTCCAGGTAATGAATGTGCTCCTGGGTCACTGCAAAACCCCATCCAGCAGGTCTACGTGGGCCGTTTCTCTGGGCGTGGCTATTGCTGGAGCCATCTGTGTATATGGTGGTGCTACACTGAATTCCAGAACTGGATCCGGAGCTGGGTGTGGTTGGGGACCACTGGTGCGCTTGAAACTCCTGGCTTAGCTTTTCATGAATGGTCCTCTGGAACAAACCCCGATTGCGTCGAGCGGCTGCTGACGGCCCTCTCAGCAGCTCGTACTGGACACGAGCGGTTGGAGGAGCAGCTGCCTGAGCGATTCGTTTGGCTTTGGCTGATCGCTTGGATTGCTTGGACAAGGGGTTTGGCAAATGGAACAACATTTGCTTGGCGCTATATGATCACTAATTCCAAGACACAAGGTGCGGATGGTTTGAGTCTGTTTCAGGATGGCTGTACTGGCACAAAAATAATCTAACTCATACCACTTCTTATTTCCGGGGTGTTGCCATGTGCCCCGGTGTCCACAACGGAAAAATTGGTCAACACACTGCAAACCAGTGGTGGCTAACCATTGTCTTTGTTCGATTCCTGAGGCCGCAGTGGGAGTTTTGAGGGACCAAGTGGGACGGTGTTCGGTCTGGTGATGGTCCCGTCCAACATGGCCATTCCAATCTCCCCCCCAAACTTGGAGGAGAGCAGGGTCATCTTTCTCAAGTTGTTGATGATGCTCGTGTGCTTTAGAGTAAGCTGTTGATCTATCTTGGCGCTGGTCTACTGTGTGACCAGAAGGGATATATACACAAGTGTGTGCATACTGCACATGATTCAACTCGAGCTGGAGAGTGAGAAAGTGTGTGTGTGTGTGGTGCGGACCATCTGGCACCCTGATCCAACCACAACTTGCGTGTGTGAAATGGTAACAGGAAACCGACACGGCCGCGTTGAACCAAAAGAAATTCTTCAATGTATATCATCTGGAGTTCCTGCATGGCTTCTGGTTCACATCGAAGTTCTGTAAGCATGATCATATCCCACTTATACTTCCGACTACTTAGGATCAAGTGCTGCAGCTTATGACGGTGATCTAAAAAATTCCATCGAAGGCCTTGTGAATTCAACGTGCAAAGGTGAAAAGAATCCGCTATGGTTTGCAATCTGTTTGTCCTGTACATGTGTCTGTCACGATGTGCCTTACGTCCGTGCCGACTATGCTGCTCACAAAGTTCTATGAACGGTTGTCTGCACGAAGAAAGCTTCTGTTCCGACGGACTGCTCATAGGGTACCGATTTGCCTGCACAGAATGCGCCGGCGGTTGCTGGATCCCCCCATGAAAGATTCCAGTCAACCGGTGAAACTGAACCACTCTTGTCGGGGCAGCCATCTCCTCAGTAGCACAGGGCCACTTGTGCTCCGCTTCTCTCAGCGCCTGTTAGAGGCAGTAGTTCGTGCTGAGGAAAGAACATGCCGATGATGGCCATCATTGCAAGGCGTGGTGGAACGTGTTGGCGCGGAGCACCATCCCTTCATGTACTCCTCGTTAGTGCAAAGCGATTTGATCAGTGAATAATATGTCAGTG